ATGATAGAACGAAATCAGGAGAATAGGGAGGGGAATCAACCAGGTTAAATAACATTTAAACGCAGTACAGCCATTGAAACAAAGGACATGTGTACTGGAAAAATGTCACAATAAAAAATATGCTTTGGACATGATCGACTTTCGTCACTACCTCATAAAGTTAACATCTTACTCTCCATTGAACATTTGCAAGACTATCAAGAAACACAATGCATGTTGCATATTCCTGAACATTTTAAGGTCTATCAAGAAATACAATGCTTTTTGCATCTCGGTTAAACATTTTGAAGACTATGAAGAAACACAATGCATATTGCATTACCAGTGAACATTTTGAAGACTATCAAGAATCACAATGCTTTATTGGATATTTTGAAGACTAACAAGAAACACAATGATTTTTGCATATTCCTGAATATTTCGAGGTCTATCAATAAATACAATGCTTTTTGCATCTCCATTTAATATTTTCAAGGCTATGAAGAAACACAATGTATTTTGCATCTCCATTGAACATTTTGAGAGACTATTAGGAATCATAATGCTTTTTGCATCTCCATTGAACATTTTCAAAACTATCAAGAAACACAGTGATTTTTGCATCTTTATTGAACATTTTGAAGACTAACAAGAAACAAAATGCTTTTTGCATATTCCTGAACATTTTGAGGTCACAAGGTATTTTCCATCTCCTTTGAACATTTTGAAGACTATCAAGAAATACAATGCTTTTTGATTCTCCATTAAATATTTTCAAGGCTATGAAGAAAACAATATATTTTGCATCTCCATTGAACATTTTGAAGACTATAAAGAAACACAACGTATTTTGCATCTCCATTGAACATTTTGAAGACTATCAAGAATCACAATGCTTTTTGCATTTCCATTGAACATTTTCAAAACTATCAAGAAACAAAATACTTTTTGCATATTCCTGAACATTTTAAGTCTATCAAGTCTATCAATACAGTTGTTTGCATCTTCTGGAACATTTTGAAGACTATCAAGAAAAAATGTTTTTTGCTGCATCTCTGTTGAACGTTTTGAAGACTATCAAGAATCACAATGCTTTTTGCATCTCCATTGAACATTTTCAAGATTATCAAGAAACACAATGATTTTTCTCCATCTCTAGTAAACATTTTGAAAACTATTAAGTAACACAGTGTTTTTTTTCTTCTCCACTGTAGTTTTTTGAGACTATATATATATATATATATATATATATATATATATGCCCTTTGCATCTCCATTGAACTTTTTAAGACTATCAAGTAACACGATCCTTTTTGCATCCACTTTGAACATCTTGAAGTCGATCAAGAAACATGATGCTTTTTGCATCTGACTTGAACGTTTTGCGGACTATCAAGAAACGATACTTTTTTGCATCTGTCTTGAACATTTTGAAGACTATTAAGAAAAATCCTTTTTGCTGCATCTCTATTGAACCTTTTGAAGACTATCAAGCTTTCAATGCTTTTTGCATCTCCATTGAACATTTTAAGGTTACTAGGTAACACGATGCTTTTTGCATCTCCATTGAATATTTTGAGTTCTATCAAGAAATACATTTATTTTACATGTCTTCAACCTTTTGAACACTATCAAGAAACACGATGCATTTTGCATCTCCATTGAACTTTTTGAAGAATGTCAAGAAACACAATGCTTTTTGCTGTATTACCATTGAGCATTTTGAAGACTATCAAGAAACACAAAGCTTTTTTGCATCTCTATTGAACATTTTGTAGACTATCAAGAAACACAATTATTTTGTAGGCTATCAAGAAACACAATTATTTTTGCATCGCAATTGATCCTTTTGAAGACTATCAAGAAACATAGTGCTTTTTGCATCTTCATAAACATTTTGAAGTCTGTCAAGAAAAACAGTGTTTTTAGCATCTCCCTTAAACATTTTTAAGACTATCAAGAAACACAGTGCTTTTTGTATATCGCTTGAACATTTTGAAGACTTTCGAGAAACACAGTTGTTTGCATTTTACTTGAATATTTTGAAGATCATCAAGAAAAAATGCTTTTTGCTTCATCTCCATTGAACATTTTGAAGTCTCTCAAGAAAAACAATGCTTTTAGCATCCCCATTGAACATTTTGAATATTATCAAGAAACACAATGCTTTTTGGCTTCACGCACTAATAGTACTTGCTCGATAAAAGTCACTCGAATAGTAACCTCCGAATAGTTATCCGAATATTAATCCGTATAATAATCACTGAGACACCATGCTAATCCCCACATATAAATTTCCTTTACCATCACGTGATCTAGTTATTCACTTGTTTTTGCTTTCTGGTGATCTGTGTTCAAACTCCAGTATCAGCAGCATCACTTTATATATCACACTTTAGTTCAAGCTACCATCACAATAATTACATTTATTGTTATTATCATTCGACCTCCATTACTAATCACTTCTACCACTATATATATATATATATATATATATATATATATATATATATATATATATATATATATATATATATATATATACCATATAAATTAACCATATATACATATATTTGGTTGGATAGATGTGAGTTTGTGACCCTGGGTTTCACGCTTTAGCGATCGTCAGACAAACTGATTAATGTTTTTAAAATTTGGGTTTATGTAGATTGCGTGTATTGGTATTATTGTGGAAGTGGTGGGGAAATTTCGTCGTTTTCATTCATCGTACTAACGCAAACATCGATGTATGCAGACACATATACACACTTGGTCGTCCGTCGGGACTCATACATACATAAACATATGTGGGCAGCATCGGCTATGACACATGTATGTATACGGGTGGTGTTATATCTATACATACGCATTTGTATGTTGAAATCTAAACATTGGAAGTGTGACGGAAATGTCTCGTTGATGTGTACATGTCATATGTATTTTCCAGCTGGAAAATATTTCCTCGCATGTATGTATATGCGTGTGGTGGGGTTTGTGTAAAATTATGATAGGTAAAGATTATTATTATTTATATTTGTTTTTAAAATTTTTTTTTTTTTTTTAAAAAGAAAAATAGGACTTTATTTGTTATATTTAAAGCTGGTTATTTGTTTGTTTTTGGTGACTGTGTATATGTAACAGGTAGAAATTTGTAATCCTTGTTGGTTAATATATATGGTGATGTTTAGTTTAATATTCAATGTGCTGGGTGAGAGGGTAGTTCAATTTAATAATGGGTTTATATGGTATGATGTGATAGTAATGTTTCAAGGGATTGGAGACAAAAATTAAATTGTGATTTACCTCTCATTACGGTCAACGTTTGCTACTCTTATTAAAAATGATTTTAAACATTATAATATTATTCTAATTTAGTTTTATGATATTTCTAATTTTATTTTACATTTGTGAGTATTGTTAGGTATACATGATTGTATTTGACGTCCTCATGGGGTAGCATTGCCGAATATTAGTATCAAATTGTCATGTTTGTGGTGAGTAGTTATTTCGCAACTGAAAACTTCCTATGAAATAGCAATTTTTTAAAGATTTTTTTTGTAGTTGTGCGTAATACGCACCCCTAATTTTGCTTATTATTTTTTTTAGAAAAAATGCGTATTATACATGGGAAATTACGGTACATGTATATCTACACATGGACAATGGAAGAGTAGCACGGTTGGTTCTGGAGAGACTTGCAGAGTTGGTAGAATCGCGCCAGATATCTATTAAGCCAAAAAGAGCACGAAGGGAGGTTATGTAATTAATGAAGTCTTCTCCACGCAAAAAGATACCAACAGGGCTAGAGCAAGGTGTGAAGAATCTTAGAAGGTAGTATAGCTTCTCTGTTACAGATTCCCACCGCGGAGTTGAAATCCAGCGACAAGCCTGATTTCCGAGTGATCCACGCACTGCCTTCCACTGCTTTCTCGTCACAGGTCTTCATCTAATTCAGCTTTTGGCTACCAGTGTACTTGGGGAATCTGTGTAAGAAAGCAGCAAGAAAGCCTCTAAAGCCAACCTCAAGTCACCAGTTTCTCATACCGAAGTCATTTTCTTTCATGCGCCTCTTCAATTCCTTCTCCCATGTTGCCGTCAATTCGCCAAGCAGTCGAGGCTTTTTCTCGCTATCAATTAACAATAGATATGGCCTCAACAGACACAATAATCTCCCCTGGCAGTGTAACATCAACCAATACTGCCCACTTCCTTTAGACCTCCGACCTGGTCTTCTTCCTCATAACAGCCTCACCTTGCTTCAGGAAAGCAATCCTTCACAGGTCTGACGAGGGATATACTAGCACTTCTCGAAGCTGCTGTCACAACCACATGGACTAAGTTATGCCTAAAAGTGTACCAGCCATTCTGTAGCGCCTTCGGGCTGGACAACAGCATATGGCGCAGGTTTCCGTATGTACCATACAACCGGCAGAAGGGTGACTCCTGTACTCTCCATCTCCTCAAATTTACCTGTGATGCTGCCTTTACTGACTGAATGAGAAACTTCAAATGTGGCTTCGACGCCACCAATCAGACCAACTGATCTGAACACTTAAGGATACAAGTAACCTCCTTTAAGATCCAGAGACGGATATGCAATATAATTGGCCCTGTTCTGGCATCTCGTCTACAATCGCTCGCCCAAATTTACAAGCACACACTCTTGTCCCGTAGGACAATTCGCTTTAGTGATCTTGGAGATTTTAAACATCTCATGGCTGAATTTTTATAGAACTTTAAACGTGTTTCAATCACACAAATATCAAACAGTATACGAATTCAAAAAGGGCTCTTAAGTAATGAAAATGGTAAGAATTATTCTGTCGTTGGAATTAGATCTTTACGTGGTCAGTTATAGTAGTGACGGTTTTGCCAGTGTCGTTCGAAAGATTTTTCTTACAATAATTCACTTTGTTCTGGACAACTGATATCTGTCAATATTCCACTTCTTCAATCCGTAATTCAGGAAAGAAAGAAAAAAAAACAAACAAAAAAAAAAACGAAGCAAACTTCATGTGGCTTACAGCCAAATCACGTTGAAACACTGGTTTTTGTACGATCACCGCAGTTAAGCAACTTCGGGTCAGGTCAGTACCTAAGAGGGTGAGCCCATGGGAATAATAGGTTTGGATGTGCGGATGGTGTAATGGGTAACGACTCGAAATTGTTAATCGGAGAGCCCAGTTTCAATTTTCGTTGGTTTTGTTATATTTACTTACACTCAAATACCCTTGGGAAAGTACAAATCAAACTTTTATCCCCCAGCTATGGGTTAATTAGTAAATCTTGTATTTCTAAAAAAATATTATCTGAAAAATAATTAAAATCTAAAAATATTTCCTGGCTTTAAATAACCTTTAAAGGGTTGATAAACCATAGAAAGCAAATCAATCAACAATTAATATTATCAACAATAAACCAGCAAGAAATACTTAAATTAACATAATTTAGCAGATTATATACATGAAAACACTTGCTAAAATGCTGAATTGACAAGTTCTTGATGTAAATTAACCAAGGAAACACATCTATAAATTGGTTAATATAACTTTCAAGCACTAAGAATGTGTAAGAAGTTTCGTTTTTTTTTTTTCTGGACTGTTTAAAAATAATTTTGAATAAAATACATCAGTAACTTCATGGGGACTGTCTTCCTTCTTCATCAGAGCGTATGCATGAGTTTGTGTGTGAATGTGAGAGAGAGAGAGTGGGGTAGACCGTTGGTTTGACTTCGACAACTTCATTGATGTTTAAATAATTCCACGAGATGCAGAATTTACACCATGAACAGCAACAGATTATTTGTATGTTATCTTCTGCAAAACTGCTGTTTCTATTTGAACGCCAGCGAGTAATTATGTTCACTCAGTTTATACAAAATACTGGCCGAGACACTCACATATAGAATATGACACTAAATATGGAAGTTAAGGAATGCCAATCTTGTTCAATACCTAGATGGGTGACCGCTCTGGAATACCAGATGTTGTAAGTTTTAATCTTCGGTTGGTGTAATGGATAACGGCTCGAAATTGGAAATCGGAGAGCCAAGTTCCAATTCCAGGTTGGTTCGTCATATTCACTTAGGCGTAAAATACACTTTGTATGAGTCCTCTTCTCCCCACACACATAACCAGCTATGGGTTAATTAGTAACATTTGTATCATTAAATCATTATTACCTCCAGAATATTCTTAACAATCTAAAAAATATTTTCTGGGTTTAAATAGCCTGCAAATGTTGAGAAACCTTAAAAAAAAAACAACAACAAATGAATCAACCATTTATTCGAGCGAACTACATTCGTAGATTCCAGCAGTCCAAAAGTTCACAGCTAGGACCCATCATACAAGTCGACTCATTCTCATTTCATTCATTGGTAAGGAAGAAGTTCCATTTCTTCCCCTAGAATTCTTGCAGTATGGAACGAACGTCTGATGGGATACCTACCTTATCACTATAATCTTCAAGTCGATAATCAACCTTTATCTATCTTTCATATCCACATAATATGTCGCTTTTGCTCCCCCCCCCTATACAAATTGACAACATTCCCATTCAGTAAATCTCTACCTTGAGTGGCACTTAAGCCTTGTATTGTGTGAAATATAATAAAAGAGAAAAAAATGATTACAATCATTTCAGATCATTGAAGCATTTTTACAATGAAAAAAGTTTATTAATTGTGAAACTAAACCTGATCCTGAATGTTTCTTTGCATAAAACCCTGAGACATTTTACGCCCCAGGGATAACGGGTTGGCAAATAGATTGGGTTATGCTATCCACAATGAAAGGAGGTGACATTTCTTTTGTTAAAGAAACGTTATCTTTACATCAATTAATCTATTATATTCACTTACATGCTAATACCCTTGTGAATAGTGTGAATCCTCTTCTTATCCCTCCAGCTATGGGTAAATAGCAGGACAGACTGGGTTCTATAGCCTTGGATGGCACCTGGTCTAGGAGAAGGACAACTCTGAATTCAAAACCTGCGGAGGGTCGCTTGGAAACCTTGTGGCACGTAGTGCACCAGGTCTCTGTATTCGGCACTTCAAAAAGTGTGGATGGTCCTGCACGAAACCTTCACCACTATAATCAAATCTCATGTGCTGTTGATGGGCTGTCGGTTTCTTAGGAACTGATCTGCTTAACCCTCATACGTCGAATTCGACGGGAGAGTCGAATATATATATATATATATATATATATATATATATATATATATATATATGAACAAAACCTGTAATTTTCCGGTCAATATGAATAAGAGGTCATATTCCAAGAAATTTTTTAAGGTAGATGTATTCTATGCCTACAAGAGAAAATGAGAATTATTAAATTTAAAAATCTAAATATAATTTTCAACCAAAGAAATGAATTAATTTCTAAATGCTGTCACCGAAGTAGATCTAAACTTATCTAGACCCTTACTGAATTTCCGTGAACTGTTATCATTTGACAATTGCACTATGAATTCTGCTTCCTCCTCCGTCCGTTCATATATCCTACCAAAGTTTTTTATCACTCACCATTTACTGAAATATCCTTTCTCTGTCACTAAATTACTAATAATACCTTGATGACCATCACTAATATCTTTAATATTACTCTTATTGCCATTATATTCCTATTCTCTTACTATAAGATATTTTTAATTATTTATGTTATTTTATTGATTTTATTTCATTTTGACTTATATTTAACACATTATTGTTATACTGTAATTAGTGATGATATTTTCCATTTTTATTGCATATCTTTTTTATATTCTCCTTTTTATTCCTTTCTTATTACATTTGAATTTTTAAAATAGATTTACAGTGTTTTTTCAAGGGGTTCTAGTAGGTATATATATATATATATATATATATATATATATATATATATATATATATATATATATATAGAGAGAGAGAGAGAGAGAGAGAGAGAGAGAGAGAACGTATTTGACAGTTTAAGTGTATCATATATATATATATATATGTATACATATATATATTAATGTATATATGTGTATATGTCTATGTATGTATGTATGTATGTATATATATATGCATGTGTGTATGTATGTGTTTGTATATATATATATTTTATATATATATATATTTAATTAATTAATATATCACTTTCTTTTTTCAATATCATTAATATATGTTCTAATTAATAATTATATAATACTTAGTATAATTTTATAAGTGTGTTTACATGATAATAATATACTAGAATATAACTTTCATAATTATTTATTGTTACATAATAATGATAATATACTAGAGTATAACTTTCATGAAGATTTATTGTCATATAATAATACATAATTATGATTTAAGCTTTATTTTATATACTTATTTTAATTAGTAGGTAAGATTTTTTAATAAAGTATTTAGATATTTATTAATATTATAGTTTTATTGAATATATTAATGTGGTGAATGTATTAGTATATTGATGTGGGGCCAAAGTTGGGATCACATAAGTAAAACACGGAACACGGATTAGATGTAAGGAAGATATATTAACAACAGATTACAGAGATAGTGTAAGCGGAGCTTACTGTATGTTAGTGTCCAATACTGGTAGTCGTGCTAGACTCTCACTGTCTCTCTGTGTCACTCTCTAGAGTGCTATGTCGCCTACTTAATATAGGCCTGGAAGAGTCTATTGTGTAGGTAGTTTCCGGTCTCACAGTATATATAATATTGATACTGAAATGTATTACACTGATATATATATTATATTATTTGGTATGATGAAGTGGTATTTGAAATTTTTTATTGGTTGTTAGAACATTTGTAAAACTTTAACCCTTATTTCTTCTTTAGGATTGATTTTCCCGTCACCCTTTAATATATTTTGTATTTAATTCATTTCCGGTTGCCCCTTGCGTCTCGTTGGCATCATCACCTTGCTTGGGGTGGAGCCTCTTACTCTGAACCACCCCACCATCGTGTGTGGCTCTAAAACCTTCCACAGGGTTTATATAATTATAAAAAAAAGAAAAGAAAAGATAAATATATAGAGGGAAACAAAATTAGTCAGATGAGAGAGATCAGTGATTTTTATTTAGTTTTTACTCTGTTTTTGCCTTTTTCTTTCTGCAAACAATTGAGAAACATTTTCTCAAAAGAAATGCCGTCAGAAACAAAATCACAAAACCCGCCGTAAAAAGAACGGCCAAAATATCAAGCATTAAAAACTCATATAACGGAATATCTTGAACCTCTGACCTTAAGTGATCGCCTCCATATTTCAGAATCTCATTTACAAGACGAGCTATTCTGGCCGATGGGAGATCTTGGGATCGAAATATTTCGCTCATCTTTGCAATGTTTTTCTTGTATTTTGGATTCTCAATGACTTCCTCGATATTTCTGACCAACTCGTCCACTGTGAAATTATTCAGATCCATCGAGATTCCGAATCCTTTCAACTGCATATTCTGACTATTAAACGGTTGATCCAAGAAAACTGGAAATCCAATGATGGGAACAGCGTGATATAAGCTTTCATGTTGACCGCTGTTACCACAATGGGTGATAAACAATTTGGTGTTTGGATGACCAAGAAGGTCGTTCTGTGGCAGCCATTTTGTGAGTAGAACATTTGGGCGAGAAAAAGAAGAATTTGAATGTTTCCAGACAACATCGTATTTTATCTTACTGAAAGCTTCTTCCATTTTCTTTACGTGAATACCCCAATTGACAAAACTTCCTGGTGATACAACGATGACTCCATATTTAGAAGCATTTACAAATTCCAAGATATTTCCTTTGAGAGGTTCTGCCGGCTGAGTAGCTATTCCACCAATGTATTTGACATTTGGAAGCGCCGGTAACGCTCGATGGAGAAAGTAATCCGAATCGATAATATGAAGCTCAGCTTTTCGTATGAATTCGTCAAAGGAAATATCTGGTCGAAGTGGTGCATAGAATTTAATATGTTTGCCTGGAGAACCAACTGCGTGATTCATGTAATCCTGAAAATTATAAAATGCGTTTCTGATCTTCATCGAAAAAGATTTTATTTCACGCTGGAATATAAAAGTATGTGGGATAACGGATATTGCCCATGGTGTTCGGTGAATGTTGATCTGGTTGTGTGCTCCTATTAGAATGAAGGGA